AAATGTATAATTTGAACAGTTCTTTGAAGTGAATGGGTCTGAAGATTTGGTTCCCTTCAAAGAGCCATAAGTCCATAACTAGTGGGAAAGAGTTTTTCTGGAGGATGGAAAGAGGAGATGCATTTGGACATCTATGTGTCGATGACATAGTTTTTTCTGTCTGAAGGACAGAGATGAGAATGATGTTAGGAGAACTTAATGTTATTATGGCAATAAGAATGAGGGCAGAAATAAGTGCAAAAAGAGACCAATACAAGAAACAGGAGCAAAGAACCAAACAGTGATTGTGGTTTGAGGAAAACTGAGAATTTCCTAACATGAATGAAGGATGGGAGTAGAAAACGAGGGGGGGAGCATACTATTAAAAGAATGACAAAGCAGGGGAAGAGAGAGAATGAAAGGATGGATGAATTCATGGATTATAAATGGCTTGTCCTGAATGTGTCAGCAGTGTTTCCTCTCCGTACTCCAACAGAGGAACCTGCTAAATCAATCGGAAGCTTTCTGCTCACACAGTGGACGCCCCGAGTCATGATCACTGTAATTTCCTCTCATGCTGGTACTATATTCGTAGCTTTGGGCAAATCTCGTCTCTTTCCTCTCACATTTTCTTCGCTGCCTTAATTCTGCTGTTGCTGTGTAGAAAACGTAAATCGGCTGGTGCTAATTTTACCGGAAGGGAATCTGTGTAGGCTGGAAGAAGCACTTAGGAAAACAAATGTGTGATTTTAACATGTAGATTTAAAATTGCAGAATAAACATAATATACATATATATTTTAGCAAGAAAACAACATCCCCTGCTAAGCACTAACTATCAAATTAAATTAGACTTTCTATGATTCATGCTATAATACCTTAATGACTAAGCCTGGTGATTCCTAGTGGGATACAAAACTTACAAAATGTAAGAACAGTTTTCTTCTTCACATTGAGAGACTTTTCAAAGTTTGACGTTGAAGCAAAGTGTTATAAGTGTTATGTGAACCAATAGGAGGCAGCCACATTGCTCTGCAAGAAACTAATGAGATCAGTGAATAGATGAAAGTTACTTTTAATGCTCTAAATCAGGGATGTCCTGCAACTCTTTGATGTGTCCCTGGTCCAATACGCCTGAATCAAATACTGAAATATCTCCTCAGTAGGCAGCAAGTTCTCCAGAGTCCAGCTGAGGACCTAATTATTTGATTCAGGTATGTTGAAGCAGATACATATCTAAAAGTCACCACTTCTTGAGGACTGGGGTTTGACATTTGTGCTCTAGACAAGGAATCATAAACCCAAAATTCAAAGTCAAATTAAATCTAGTTTTGAATAAATTGAATAAAAAGTTTGCAACAAATAATGAGCAAATCCTTTCTATCAAATTTCCTCACAGCTTACAAGGAAAATAAATGCTGACAGAAAGGCAAAATGAGAACTCAAATTATTTTATATTCTTAAACTTGATCATCTGTACAGGCGCTAATACCCTCAGCAGTAAAGTGCCTTTTTTTAACTACTTTCACTGTAAGGTTTTAAAAATGAAGCCAGCAGAAGGACATACTTCATGTAAGATGTATTTAAAACTGAACTGAAACTGTATTTTCTACCACATCAGTCGTTGTTTCAGGCTGCAAGAGATTGAAAAAGAGCAAGACTTAAAACAGATAACAGGAAGGTTGAATATTTTGCAACACAGTTGCTCCACTTGGTCTTTTGAGCCAGGATTCCTCACTTTTCATGAAGACTTTTCCCCTCTCATCCAAAATGAATCTTCATTTCTAATCATAGTTGGAAGCAACAAGCCTATAAGCTGTGTTCAGAACAATCACACTAATAGGACTTCAGAGAAAGTCTTAGAAAGATGACATCTGAGGACTGGTGTTTTCTTCATGTTTAAGACGGATTGCCTCAACCCTCCATCAAACCAACTCTTTCATTGTTCAAAATGGACACGTTGCCGTCTTTTGAAACAGTGTCCAGTGTCCTTGAGATGTAACTGCACCGCTGATTAGTTTGTGTTGCTGTGGTGGTGCATCTGTTTTTGCAGCAAATGTTTGGTTTCCTCCACATTAGAGATCTGAATAATCCTGTTCAAACCTCACCACTGATCTTGCGTTTGTGTGTTTTATCACTGGAACGAACCAATCTCTGTTTTAGAGTGTTGGGTTTACACTAACTAACTAACTGGACGTGTTGTTAAAAAAAAGGTAGATGAATGCAATTATTTTTAATTTATGTCACCATCTGCAATTCTTTAAAGTAACATACAATAGATAATTTAAGGCTGTTTTTGAGGGGTTGGCACAGCTAGTAGCGTAATCGTTAATCAGCAATTAGAGCAAAAACAGCAGCTGCAGACTTGCTGATATGCCTACAAACCCGCATACCTACTGAGAGAGAAATTGAATAGACTGAAATTAGCATTGGGATATCAAATCCTTGGAAAAACTGAACATTAAAAATCTTCTATGAATTTCCTAATATGTGCCATGGACAAATGTTTATTTGCTTAAGCATTCCCATGTTTTGGAAGGTTTTATGTTAATTTATATAAAAATATATATCAGTATGTCATATTAATATTACGGTCGTCAGCGCCTGGGAAATATTTAGGACAACAATTGCACTATACCATTCAAAAAGTGGTGTGTTGTGCAGGGAGTGACTCACAAACATAACAGAAAACTGACGCAAATTAACGAGTCACAGAGTTTATGCTCATCTTCCTCTCTGACATCCATGACAGATTCTCCCATCAGACTCTGTCTATTAACAGCTCCAGACTCAATTTTGTGAAAAGCTGCATATAAAAGTCATTTTCATGACAAACCAACCCATGGAAAATATTTGTTATTCTGAGCACACATCATTTCACCCGATCATGTTCATTTGTTATAAACTTTATATTAGATAATATGAGAAAAATAAAAATCATTAGTTATAAATTTGAATTCAGGCTTGCTTTCTACCCTTATGTACAATACATTGTTGCAGCAGTGACTTTGGCAGAAGTGAAAGAATTAGAGATGGTTTTCTCCCGACACACCTGAATGAATTCTCTGCATGTTAGGAGTCGGTTCAGCTGTTGTGCAGCCACAGCAGGTTTAATAACAGACACTTAGTCACGCCAAAACTCCTCCGCCCCTCTCGATTCTGTCTCGCATTAGCTGAGATATCTCACTTATAAAGATCACCATATAATGGGTTATAACATAATGGGCTCAACGGAGAGGGAAAATAAAGCTCTGCAGCAGCATTTCTTATCATAAGCTGAGGTTCCCAACCTCACAATCCTGTGTGTTACCATCCCCACTGTACTAAATATTAGGAAAATTTTATTCCACTGTGTTAGAAAAGAAGGGAATTTCAGAAGGAATAAAGAAAGAATCATACATTCAAACTGTGGACCTTTAGGGCTTCATGAGGAAACCCGGTTTCACTCTTTCCTCCTCATTCTGAGCACTAAAGAACGAGTGCTAAGAATGGAGCACACATACAACCCTCAAGTCACTAAATGTGTGCTCCAATTTTAGTTCAGTACTAGTGCAATTTTTTTCTTGAGTAATGTTAGTTCTTCTAAACAAGAATAAAAAATAGAAGAAGAAATGTCTGACATACAGAGGACATACCACTAAAGTAGCAACTTTAACTGGTTTTCTCCATTTTGGACAGACATTGGTCACATGTAACAACTACAGTATGTTGTAGAAGGTTTACACAAAGTGCCAGGAAAATGTAAACACCTCAGGTCAGCCCCGAAACCCTTCTGACCTTCACTTACTCTTTTGATTGTTGGACAAATCTGTAATTACCGAAAACATCATCACTTGTTATGCAACCACTGAAGTCCTGGGATGTTCTAGCTTCTTGAACTGTAACCAGAGAGATAACCTGTCGCTTGTTTGGATGTTCCCAAATTACATGCAACTCAGACCATTCCTTCAGGGAAGGTCATTCGGTACCAAATGGGTTAAGTTTTTAACATAGACACTTGTTTCCGATCAAATGTCTACGTTGACATAGACGTGATCTATGTCATTTTTAGGACTATTAGGCTGTTGAAGGCCAAATTACAAGTACAAGTACCTCCAGTGTATAATTATGAGAAGAAAAAATGACATTATGATATGCATTGAAATAAATAATATATGGTTGATACAAACATTCAAATTGTCTGACAAAAAAGAGAAAAAAAAAATCACATTCATCTCATGAACCTCAACTACGTTGCTCTAAAATGACATTTGAATTGATGTCTGTACGATGCTCTGTAATCTTTTTGTACACATTAATCACACTAAATAAATGCATCATTGAACAGGGAGATTGTACTCCCTGTTCAATGTTCAGACAGTTTCTAATGAGTGAGCATTGATCAAAGAAACCTCTGACATGTGTCTTTATGGGGGCTAACATTCAGGGAGAGGTCACTGTATTTTATATTATCATCAGCAGCATCCTCAACATGAGATCATATTCAGCAGCACGCTGGCAGGAAGGAGGTACATTACCTTGACCACCAAAACAAGCACTCAGGATACTGTGTGGATACCAAGGAATGTAGCCAACTAGCATCATGATAGCTTAGATCTAAAATATGTTGATGGAAATGCTGTTTTGCTACTATAGTGGGGCTCAAAGTGCATTTACAGGGATTTATGCTCAAGAATATGCAAGAAAAGTTAGGCTTCAGGTCTGACTTGTTTCTATCTATAACATTTTGGGCAATGTGCAGAATTACCTTTGTTCCACACTGCAAAGGGCAAACAAAAGAGATCAAGAGATTTAAAACCAAAAACATTAAACAGAGAACATAATTTTAACAGTAATGTAAAAACTTTGTCCCACTTTTCAGTAAGAAAAAAAAAATTAAAATACAAACCTTCCACCGGAGATAATCTTTGCTAAAAATGCATTTGGAGATGTTAATAGATGCAGAAGCAAGAAGGAATTTTTAGAGGAATTTTTGGCTACATTCCTGCCTTATCCGACTGAGTCTTGGTGGCAAAATCCTACCTTTAAAATTCGGTCGAATTCTGGCATCGTACCCCGAGACTTTCCCCATAAGTTTGTCCAGAAACTCTGACGGTGGCATCGGGGAGGCAGCTTTCCTCGCCGCAGCTTCTTTTGATGCTGCTAAACTGGAAAACAAAGATTAATTTGATTAGAGACCAAACGTAACACAGTAGGAGATGTCAGGAGAAAAATATATTAAGAAAAATGTATTTAATTTAAATTTAATTGAGCGTGAGGTTATTAACAACCAAAGTATGCAGACTGAGAGCTAAGTTTTCATATCCATTGTCCCAAATGAACAATTTAGATTAAGTTATCATAAAGTCTGCACCTGGCATTTTAGAAACTCGCTGTACCTGCTTCACTGGTGCAGCAACTAGGAAATTTTAACTTTTTAACACTTAACTTTAGATGGCACATTGAAGAACAATTTTTTTTTTTAAAAAAAAAAAAAAGGGGACAAAAAAGTAATTTAGACCCTATTATGTGTTGTTGCATTTCCATTTGCTCTTTTGATTGCAGACAAAATAAGCCTAAAATTTAATTCATTAAAATATATCCATTAAATCATAAACCTACATGCTTAATTCCAGTGCCTGGAGAAATCAATTTTGTGTATGTGAAGAGCATGCAAACTCCAGAATCGCGCCCGATGTGGGACTTGTACCTTCACGATGTCACCTATCAAGTCCAAGGCTCCCTTCCTGCCTCATTTGGACTTACTAGTGTCTCCAGGAACTCTATGACCTCGCTTGGGAGATTACTCCTCCACCATCAGTTCTAGCAAAAACCTTTGGGATATTCATTTCCTTTTCAGCCACATAACAGAATATAGTGAGGAGATTTTCTGTTTGAGAATTGCTCCCTGCTGAGCACAACAACCTGTGCAATAATTGCAACCTGGGACATTACGTTGGTCATCTATCTGAAAAAGAAAATCATGCAAACAGAATCCAAACTTCTTACACTTCTCTATGACTACTATGAATTCAAACTTAAGCTCTTGAATATTAATATTTTGCCACAGGTTCTCTTTAACAAGAGCATAAAAATATATTGGATTTCACCTGATTTGGGGATCTGTGAGACTGGAGCGGTTTCGTTTTGACTGAGGATATTTATGATAGTGGCTGAAAACAAATGTTTAAGCTTTTAAAACTTGTTTTAATAACTGACAACTAAGTTAAAGTAACAGTTACAAACTTTTATTTAGCAAAGAAGAATAGATATATTAAAGTATCCTAACACAAGGAATAATAGTTAGTGTTGCATTTGTCATGCATACTTTGAAGAATTATACTTGTATTAGTGTCAAAGCATAGTGGTATTGTGTTTTGCTCTAAAGTCACTTTAAAACATTACTTTTCTAAAATTAAGATCTTTGCTTTATATTTTGACAATTATAATTGTTGTTGATTCTTCCACCATTCCAATTTACTTGCTCATTTGTGAATGAGATTTTGGACACATTTCTTGATCAAATCGAGAAAATATATTGGATTTCTAACTTTTTTAACATAAGATGTGACAGTAATCCATTTAATACACTTCTGAAATGTACATTTTTTTCTATAAGCTATGAATTACCTTGCCATAATAAAACTTTAGCAAAGCCAGAACAAAGCCAGAAAACAGACTTTGAAACCAAAACAATCTATGAATTTAATACTGAATATGTAACAAGAAGAATTGTAATGTTGTTTCTCTCCTCTATGCAAAGAAAGCCTTGCAAGTAAAAAGCCAGAAGCAGGCTTTCTTATAAGTTTATTTTTAACTAAATGAATTGAATACATCTAAGACAACAAAATGCACCCATGACACTAACTGCTGCCCTGCAGAATTTGTCCATTAAGTGCACAAAAAGGAACCACAGAATAATTTGAATTTTGGAATTAAACTCATTCTTTACCTGAATAACTTTGATTTCCATTACTCATAACAGTGTTTGTTAGATCTCCTTTATTTGTCACATTGCTGGGATTTAGTTGTAATTGAGTGAATTAAAAGAAGCTAAAATTAACTTTTTCCTTTCAGTGAGTAAATACTAATACAATTTCAAACCAAAACCCATTATTGGCTCTCAAATAGTGAACTCAAACATGCGTGTTTGGTTCTGCCCACATGAAGGGAACACTTTTCTGTGAATAATACAGAACATCCATAGAAACACTGCTGGACAGATGTTCAGAACCGGACACCAAATAAAATGAAAACAGTATAAACATTTCAAAAAATTTACACTAACACTCAGTTGAAGTGCAGTTTGAGTTTCTTCTTGCTCTTGCTAAACTGACAGAATTAACACGCACTACTACAATATGGACTATTAATAACTTTCTGTACTGACCCACTTTCTGTGAAGACAGCCTAACACAGAGGTGTTCAAAGTGCAGCCCGCGGACCATTTGTGACCCTCTGAAGGATTTTCTGCAGCCTGTGACTGCAATTCAAGAATGGTACAGTCTTAGCCCACTAGCACAGATGAACTGGTTCATGTTTTCTTAATACTAAAGGTTATCAAGCATTTGTGAAGAAAGAATTGCCCATATCCTGTTCTAAGTGAAAGCCGACTAAATGAAATTTGTTGAAAATTATTTGCCTTTCAGGCTCCATAATGTCACAGTTTATAGCAAGAAGGTTCTGGGTTCAAATCCCAGCCTGTGTTTCTGCACATGCATGGTTGTAACCATGCATTTGGATTTCTGCGGGTACTTCAGTTTCCTCCCACAGTCCAAACACACAACTCTTAGATTAATTGGTCTTTCAAAAGACTTCTTTCATTTCATTGAGCATATTTTTCTTAATATGTTGCATAAACTGACCTGAATGATCCGTTACCATCATGGATAACTTTCTTTTTGGGATAAAAAGCTTTTATTTGTCTTATATTTGTATCATTGTTGGCTTTGATTTTACCATATTTTGACAAGAAAAAGATCAGACATGCTTACTATTAAGCCTATTAAACTATAAGGCACATCTTCTTATGCATATGGTACTAAATATGACTTTATATGAGTTTATTGTTTATTGTTGGAATTTATCAATGTGTAATTTGTCTGTGTAACATGGTGTTGGTAACATATGACATATTTGTCTTAAGAAAACAAAAATACATAAAAAGAACTGTCCTCACTGCATTTTAGCAGCTGCAAGACCAGAACACAAATTAATCAACAAATTCTCAAATGTATAATGAAATAAATGTAAGGTACAATGGGATCTTGTCCTCTTTTGAATATCTCTGACCTTAACACTCTGAGGATGAGATCAGCTCTCCAGACTTTATCTTAACCAGGCGATGAAGTGGAAAAACATGATCTTAATCTCTCACTTCTCTTTGTTTGAGTTTTTTGATTTACTGGTTCTTGAAAAGTTCCCAAAGTGAACTAAATCATCATTAAGCCAACATCGAACAACAGTTATTCCTCTAATGTTCTACAAACAGCACAAGAAACTATAATGCCTTCAGCAACCCAGAGTGCAGCTGAAGTTAAATGTAAAAATGGTGATTATGCAGGCATTACTTGTAACTCCTGATGAGTGCGAGGGAGGAGAGCACAGCCGCCGCATTAATCTCCCATAAATTAAAATGACACTTGATACAGTCGATTGCGCTTAAATTTTCACCTTCTAAATGTAAAACTGCAAAGCGTGACTTTCAATATGGTAAATCGTGTCGTACGGCATGATAAATGGCTCCATTAGCAATTCATAAACATGCAATGCAGTCAGTGCTGTCGCTTTATCTGGAAGGTGCTGATCAGTATCAAAGTCTGCCGGGAGAAAATGGGGAATGGAGGGGCATGATTGGAAAACAAAATAAAATGGACAAATCCCTCATTAGTCTTAGCACTGAAGGGCATCTGTGTGTACAAACAGAGCAAGTAACCACACTATTACAAGTACACAAAAACCTTTATGATGTGCATACATAGGTTTTATAGATTTGTATGCACATGCACTTATGCACACACACACCCGATCTGACATTGCAACCAGCTTGCCCTTATCAGTGAAAACGTCAGGAAATAAATATTGGATATTAATGAGGAGAGAGAGGGGAAAGAGTGTGCACGAAGAAGAGGAGCAAGTAAATTCAGCTCTGCTGTTCAAATAGTTTCAGGTCAACCGGAAGGGTTGCCAACTTAAGAATCCTCTGAGGCTCAAGTCAAATGGCAAAAAGTGGAATCCCCTCTTTTAGTCCAGCCAAGTTGAGGAGTACAAGTGTGTCTGTGTTTTGTTCATGAATAATGAAGTGATGGTTAGATCAATCAGAGCTCTGGTTTAAAAATGAAGGTGTTGCACCAGTCCATTGTGGTTAATAAATGGACCTTTTTAATCTTATTTTTGTTTGCACATGACCTTCGTTGAAATAAAAAGTAGTCAAATGTCTCCTGATTCAATTGGCCAGTGTAATTCAGCCCAGGCTGCAAGTATCAATAAGAAAAAGTGACTAATCTGTTGTCTTTATAAATGTAGTATTCTGTCTGTACACAAGCATTCATAGGATAAAACTATACACTAATATCTTTGAGCTGAGAAAAGACGCCAAACACAAGTCTCACACCCGAAACCTCACAGATTTGCTCATGAAGAAACAATGATTTTGTCATCAGAGCAATAACATTACAAGATGAAACTGGAAAAAAAAAACAGGTCTACAAAAGAAACATCTAAAGGTCAAAAAGTCCCTTTGCTCCTTTTCATCACACCCAGGTGTAATCATGTTGTTTCATCTTGCTGTATCCAGAGGTTTGCTGCATGGAGCTCCATATCATCATCATAAATGTCTAGGACTGAAACTGCAAAATGCTTTAAGAGAAAACTAACAAGTACTTAGATACATATTTCTGCTTAGAGGATTAAAGCCAGTTAGAAGTTAAAGTCTGCCTTTGATTTGCTCTTGCCTTGATGTTTTTTGGAAGTGTGAGAAGAAAAAAATATTGGTGAACTTGCAATAGGAGAAATGATCAATATTAGACTGACTTGTGCAATATTTGTATATAAACCCAAAAAATATATCTCATCCAGCTGAAATTTAGTCGGAATCAAACGATGTCTCACCAGCTGTCCACAGCTGAAGGATCATGCTGAGCTCTTTCTGTGAGCCTCTGCTGTTCAA